GGCTGGTTCCCTAAATCATACTGTGCTCCCAGACTCTCTGTGATTTGTTGTCATTGTTTACGATCTGAGTGAGTCCAAATTGGGCCCGGCCCTGGTTCCTCGTTAAGGCCTGTGGCAGCAATGTTGAGGAATAAGGGAGTAGAGCAGGAGTCTAAAATTTTGGTGGACTAAACATGAGACTGATTCAAGGGTATTGGTTCAACTTTGAGCTGTTTTTGAGTTTTAGTCAGCAAAGGTGGGTAAGAAGGAGGGTATCTAGTTGGTTGTACTGTTAATCCTTCTTACCTTTTTTATCCAAGTTTCCGAGATCTTTAATTGTCCCAGATTAGAAAGGGCTGCCTGTGTTTTTATGCTATTTGCAGGGTAGCTGAAAGAATTAGACCATACGTTTTCATGTGACAGGGATTAGATACTCCTGAGCTTTGGGGAAGGTGAGCAGATCACAAGCAAAAGTTTTTCCTTAGCCTCCATTGCTTCTTGGCCAGCCCAAGGTCCCTATATACCTATTAGTTTAGTGTGGAGTGTTTGTTGCTGCTGAATTAGGGACCTTAAATGAGAAGCAGTTGACCCAAGAAAGGGGAAGTAGGTGGTGGTCATGTTTAGTCTGTGGTTCAAGGTGGGAAAAGGACAGGTTTGCGCCTTGAGGGTTAGAGTCATCAGGAGAGAATTTGGCTTTTGGGGACCTCTCTCTGGAGTGAGACTATGCTTTGTTGATGGTGGTCAGATTGTGGGTATCTCCCCTACTCCCAGTGGCTCCTGACACTATCAACAATCATGTGAAGACTTGTCGGGAAGAGCAGAAGAATCTACACTTCTTTGCACCAGAGTATGGAGGTGAGGCACCAATTTCTCTGCCCTCTCCCTGTTCTCCAGGTTTCCACCTTATAACCCGAGGCCCAGAGGTAATAGAACTGAAACTTCTAGTTCTTTGCTGGCTTACAAAAAGTTTTTAAAAGGCATTTCTGCAACCCCTTACCCCCATCCTCTGATTCACCAAAGGCTTCTCTGTTTTCCCTAGAAGTCACTAATGTGACAACAGCAGTGGACATCTACTCCTTTGGCATGTGTGCACTGGAGGTGAGGAAACCACAAGCAGTGGTGTTGGAAAGGGGTCAAGTTAGAAGATGGAAGGGGGAAATGGAGGGAGGACAAGTAAGGTCTTGAGGGCGTGATTCTGGAGCACTGAAGTTCTGAAGTTTCTGCTGGTCTTTTCTGTTCCCTCTCACTGCAGATGGCAGTGCTGGAGATCCAGGGCAATGGAGAGTCCTCATATGTGCCACAGGAAGCTATCAGCAGTGCCATCCAGCTTCTAGAAGACCCATTACAGAGGGTAAGAATCTTCTGGATCACTCCCTGAACAGACTTTGAAATGTTCTTTAGGTTTTTCTTCCTTTTTACTTACTTGGAATATGCTGTCTTCTAAGAGCAAGAAAACAGAAAGCAGAAAGGACAGGCAAAAGCAGTGAATATTTGAATATTTCCCTAGGTGGTACCTGTGTTGTTTTTTGTATATATACACACACAGGTTAAGGGTTTAAGATGGGTAGTATTGGGGGTAAAGATTGTGTGTTAATTTAGGTGTGTCTACCTGGAGGTAAACTAATTTAATGGTTACCTCAGGTAATTGGTATATGGTCTCAGACAACCATCTTGATATTTTTAAACAGATTGACCAGTTTAAATTAAATCTGTCATTTGGGGTTTTATATTTACATAGTTTTACGTAGGGAAAGTGCCCTGAAATAACAAGCTAAGATTTAAAGGGTATAAGGTTATGAATCAGTATAGATAGACTACAGTAAGTAGAGGCTGGACAGGAAGGTTCAAACAAGGATAGTTTGTAACTCATTAGACAGTGTAATAGGGAGACTAGTGGGAAGTCCTGAGGCTGGTGTGGAGTAAATTTCTAGTTCATTGTTAGGTTGGGGCATTCGAGTGACAGATTAGGTATATGACCTTCTTGGCCTTCAGGTTTGTAAGGAGGAAAAGAAAAGCAGATTAATCATCATGGGACCTACGGGAGGTGGGAAGGGGGTGTGTGTGCGTGAGGAGGAAGCTTGGGGAAAGCCAGTGAACTTAATCAATGATTGTAGGAGACAAAGGAAATTGTGGTAGTTGGCTTGGGAAATAAAAAGATGGTGAATACTGTTGACCACAGCAGATAGGTTTGGGAACAGACAGGTAACTTTGGTGAGAGTCGGAGAGGAAGGAAGACCGTGAGTGGGCTGTTAAAGCACAGAAGTAGGAATAAGAAGTAGGAATATCAGGGGTGCCTGGGTCGCTCAGTTGGTTAAGCGACTGCCTTCGGCTCAGGTCATGATCCTGGGGTCCCAGGATCGAGTCCCACATCGGTCTCCCTGCTCAGCGGGGAGTCTGCTTCTCCCTCTGACCCTCCTCCCTCTCATGCTCTCTGTCTCTCATTCTCTCTCTCGCAAATAAATAAAAAAAAAAACTTAAAAAAAAAAAAAGTAGGAATATCAGGAAAAAGATATTTGGAAGTTTGAATAGTAAAAAAAAAAAAAAAGAGAGAAAGCTTGTGGTTGGAGAGTAGAAAAACAATTAAAACCAGAAAAACCATGAACAATACCTTTCATGTTAATACCTTAGAATCTTCAAAGCCCTTTCAGATACATGTAACAGTTTACTCCCTCAGCCAGTGCTGACCACCTAGTATGTATAAAGCCTGTCCTAAGTATGAGTGATGAAGTATCATGATGAACGCAGTGGTCTGGTTGCCAGATTCCCGCTCTACTTCCTCATTCCCTTTTGTAGGAGTTCATTCAAAAGTGCCTGCATTCTGAGCCTGCTCGCAGACCAACAGCCAGAGAACTTCTGTTCCACCCAGCACTGTTTGAAGTGCCCTCGCTCAAACTCCTTGCTGCCCACTGCATTGTGGGACACCAACGTGAGTCCCCTTGGCCCTGCTAGGAATTTTCTACCCTTCCGGAGCGTTAATAACTATCACTAGCAATGCTCTCTTTCCTTTTCCACTTCCAAAGGAATTCTTTACCCCCCAGGATCCCTGGGCCTTCTGGGACATTAATCTAACAACTTTCCATTTCATCATGCCCTCCAGACATGATCCCAGAGAATGCTCTGGAGGAGATCACCAAAAACATGGATACCAGTGCTGTACTGGCTGAAATTCCTGCAGGACCAGGAAGGGAACCAGTACAGACTTTGTGAGTAACTAACTGAGAGGGTCTGAAAGGGACAGATTTGTCACTACCACTGAGGGTTCTGTCAGCTGTCCATTCTTTGGGAATTGTTGAATCTGCTGTTTTGCTTATTTCCTTCCTTTCTCTTCTCCTGCAGGTACTCTCAGTCACCGGCTCTGGAATTGGATAAATTCCTTGAAGATGTCAGGTGAGAGAAGGGTGAGAGGAAAGGCGTGCTTGAAGAAGCAGGGTGGGTGTCCTGAGACATTCACAGAGCCCGTGTGACCTGTTTGATCTCGCTCTAGGAATGGGATCTACCCCTTGACAGCCTTTGGGCTACCTCGGCCCCAGCAGCCACAGCAGGAGGAGGTGACGTCACCTGTTGTGCCCCCCTCTGTCAAGACTCCAACACCTGAACCAGCTGAGGTGGAGACCCGCAAGGTGGGGCTAAGGGCTGTGCAGGTCTCTGTGGTCATGGTGGAAGGGAGAAGAGGACACATCAAATAAGGCTTTGTCCTTTAGAGAAAAGAATGTGTTTCTGGTTTCTAGCAAGCTTGTCCTGCAGGCTGGAAAGTCTTCTAGCTGTTCGGGGCTTTTTATTTCTTGGTAATACTGCTGTGGTGACCCTCTGCATCCCCTCTCCCTAGGTGGTGCTGATGCAGTGCAACATCGAGTCAGTGGAGGAGGGAGTCAAACACCACGTAAGGCTCAGGGCCAGGGCTGCAAAGGGCTGGGTGGCCGGGGGTGGAGAAGGGGAGCCTCATTTTCTGACTGTCCTCTTCTCCAGCTGACGCTTCTTCTGAAGCTGGAGGACAAACTCAACCGGCACCTGAGCTGTGACCTGATGCCAAGTGAGTCTCTCCTTTCCCTCCGAGGATGAGAGTCTCTGCGTCTTATCTGTGAGGGACATTCTTAGGGGTGGGGAAGAGGGTTACAGGGCAGCAACACATTGACGCACATAGAACAGATCGGTAGACGTGGCAGTTTCGCTTGTATCGTTCTTTCCCAGCTGGGCTGACCCGACGGGCTGTGGGCCCCTTACTCGCACACCGTGCTCACCGCCTCCCTTTTCTCTGTCAGATGAGAACATCCCGGAGTTGGCAGCTGAGCTGGTGCAGCTGGGCTTCATTAGCGAGGTGAGCTTTCTGCCTTCAGCCGCCCTGGCCGATCCATTCTCCTCTCGCCCGGTCTCACCCAGCTCTTCTCCCCCAGGCTGACCAGAGCCGACTGACTTCTCTGCTAGAGGAGACCCTGAACAAGTTCAATTTTGCCAGGAACAGCACCCTCAACTCAGCCGCTGTCACCGTCTCCTCTTAGAGCTCACTCGGGCCAGGCCCCTCATCAGAGCTGTGGCCGTCACTAGACGCGCAACAGCCTTCCTGCCCCCTCCCCCCAGTCAGTATTACCCTGTGAAGCCCCTTCTCTCCTTTATTATTCAGGAGGGCTTTGGGGCTCCCTGGTTCTGAGCATCACCCTCCCCCTTCCCCTTCTCTTCCTCCCCTCTGCACTTTGTTTACTTGTTTTGCACAGACGTGGGCCTGGGCCTTCTCAGCAGCCGCCTTCTAGTTGGGGGCTAGTAGCTGATCTGCCGGCTCCCGCCCAGCCTGTGTGGAAAGGAGGCCCACGGGCACTGGGGGAGCTGAAGTCTACAATCCCGCTGGGGCCGACGGGGTGGGAGAGAAGGGTGGTGCTGCAGTGGTGGCCCTGGGGGGCCATTCGATTCGCCTCAGTTGCTGCTGTAATAAAAGTCTACTTTTTGCTAAAAGCGTCGTGTGTGTGTGTGTGTGTGTATGTGTGCGCGCGCGCGCGCGCCTTCGCCGCCAGGGGGCGCGGGCTCGGAGCCCCGCCCGGGGCGCGCGCGGGGCTGGGCCTTCAGGTGGCGAGCGGGAGGGACTGGCCGGGAGAGCGGGGGCGGGGCCGGGGCCAGGTAGAGAGAGCTGCCCGGCGGCAGGCGCGGAGGGCCGCGATGGGGTGCTGCCGCCTCTACAGATTCGGTAATTTCCGGCCCCGGGCTCGGTCCCTTCCGTCCGCCGGCCACCCGCCCCACAGCCCCTGGTTCACCGGCGGGGGCGGCGGCCACGAGGGGCCCTCCGGTTCCTTTCCCGGCTCAGGCCTGCCCTTCCCCCCGTGCTTTGCAGACGCGGCCCGCGGCCCCCGGCGGCTTATGCGCGTGGGCCTCGCGCTGATCCTGGTAGGCCACGTGAACCTGCTCCTGGGGGCCGTGCTGCACGGCACAGTCCTGCGACACGTGGCCAATCCCCGCGGCGCCGTCACCCCGGAGTACACCACGGCCAATGTCATCTCCGTGGGCTCGGGGCTGCTGGTGAGCGCGGCGGGGGGCGGGGCCGCGGGCGTGGGGGAGGGGAGGCGGGACAGAGAGCGGCGCGGGCTTCAGTCTTTGTGTATTCCAGAGTGTTTCCGTGGGACTTGTGGCCCTCTTGGCATCCAGGAACCTTCTGCGCCCACGACTGGTGAGAGGGGATTTCTGGAGCTTTAATGAGGCTTGGGTCAGGGAAATGAGGACCCGACTCAGCTTCATCTTTAAGTGGGAGGAGGAGCCTCAAACAGAGAAACCAAGGTGCCTTATAGTGGGAGACAGCAGCCGGCGCGCCCAGCCGCTCACCCTGATCTTCTGCCCCTGCCAGCACTGGGCCTTGCTGGTGGTAGCTCTGGTGAACCTGCTCTTGTCCGCCGCCTGCTCCCTGGGCCTCCTCCTTGCTGTGTCACTCACTGTGGCCAACGGTGGCCGCCGTCTGATTGCTGACTGCCATCCAGGACTGCTGAATCCTTTGCTACCGCTGGACCAGGGCCCTGGACCATGGGCTGACTGCCCATTTGACCCCACAAGAATCTATGTGAGTGCGTGCTCTTCTCAGCCTTTTTGCAGTCTCCAGGGCCTTGGCCCTGGCCCTTTCAACCACCCCTACTTGTTTACTTCCTGTCCTGCTCCCTCTCAGTACCCCCTCCCCCTTTCCTCTTCGCCTTGTAGGATACAGCCTTGGCTCTCTGGATCCCGTCTTTGCTCATGTCTGCAGCGGAGGCAGCCCTGTCTGGTTACTGCTGTGTGGCTGCACTCACCCTGCGTGGGGCTGGGCCCTGCAGGAAGGAAGGGCTTCAGGAGCAGGTAAGGAAGAGGAACAGGAAGGGCTCATTCAATACAGACTGGCTGTGTTGAAAAAGTGCTGAACTATAATTCGGGGCAGGAGTACTAACTCCATCCTCCCCTACAGCTAGAGGAACTGACAGAGCTTGAACTTCCTAAGTGTAAAAGACAGGAAAATGAGCAGCTACTGGATCAAAATCAAGAAATGCAGGCATCCCAGAAAAGCTGGGCTTAGGACAGGTAATATGTGAGAATTGGGGCCAGGGAAAGGGTGGAGGCAGGGAACCACTCTTAGAACTGGGTCAAGTCCTTTGCCGTGCTGCTTGCCCTCTGACCCAGGTTCTCCGTTCTGTGGAGCAGGTGCTGATCCAGAGGCTCAGTTCACAACGGTGACATAAACCCCGAGATGACGTAAACAGTTGTAATAAAAGAACTCTTTTCTTCTACTTGATGATGATTCCTTTTCCGGGGAAAAGGGCACTAGGCTGATGTTGGGGATGACTTTATTCAAAGAACACAGCGGTCTCCACTACCTACAAGACTTTAATGAGGGAGAGAATCCAGTAGTTCTTCCCCGAGCCCTGCCAGTTACTGAAAGGAAAAGCTGGTGCTGGGTAGCCCTCCACACCACTGACTAATGAATTTCAGCACATCCTGGCACACTGGACTATGGGAAGTCTGTGGACAAACAGAAGAACAAGAGAGGAATGCATTAGTGCTAAGGAAAAGCATTCCTTCTCTAAAGAAAATCAACCCCATCTTGGTAGGGAGAGCAGAGTTCAGGGCCGGTACCTGCCTTCTTGACATTTCCACCACCCTTCTAGTAGTTTCTTATTTTCCTTCAGTGCTGCTCTCCCTGTCCCCACCCTCCAAGTCTCCCTCTCTAACCTTGATAGCCATAAGGAACTTATTCCAGTTGTCCTTGTTAGCTGCCTTCCCTGGCCGCTTAAATTCAATTTTGTTCCTCAGAATGGGGTATCCTGTGGGGGAAGAAAAAAAGATGAACTGGCATTTTAGGGGGAAAACCAAGAGCAATTTCGGAGTAAGATACTCTCTTGATCCTGCTGTGTTCCCTTCCTTTCCACCCACCACAGAACGTGGGTTGCTGTAGAGTTCTGTACCTGTAATGAGGCAGGGTAGTGCCCGAACTCCAGTGCTCGCTGCCACCAGGGAAGCTTCGTAGGCACCGCGCTCATCCCGAGGCAAAACCTGCTCCAGCCGCTGGTCCATTGAGACTGTGAGTACCCAGTCTCGAACCTCTTCCCTCTGAGCCTCCTGGGAAGGACAGAAGGAGGAGCAGCTTCACGCAGGGCAGGGCAAGTGGAAGGTGGTGAGTTGGGAGTCTTAACTGTCGTCCTGTGCATCATCTTTTACCCATACATGATCCTCCTTGGATGGGGTTCATGGTCACCAACTTAGTTTTCTTTTTTCTCTCCTTCTACTTTCACTGAAGGAATAGCCCTTCCAAAGATGTTGCTAGCTGATGCCCGTTACAAAGGTTAGGAGGACCAACATAAAGTGATTAAGTGTCCTCCCTTCACAGCACCCTCACACCGGTGAGGCCTTCCCTGTTCTCCAATCTCGTTCTCTTACCGGTACGTGCTGCTTGGCTGGGAGTGGCACCTCAAAGGGAATGTCTGTATCCTGAAAGTCAGAGTGGTCAAGGGCATCCAGAGTCCCTTCTTCGATTGCCTGCGGCAGAGTGGGCAGCCATGAGATAGACACAGCTTGTGACAGGCAAAACCTCCCACCCTCTGGGCACAACTTCTCTACTCACATCAGTCAGATCCAAAAAGCGGTTGAGGAAGATGAATGCCATGTTCTCCCAGCCAACTGCCTGCAACAGAAAAATTGCAAGTGGGAGTGAGCAGCTGGGATTTGGATGCTGCTTCTCCAGGATGCAGGGGAAAGAATCCAGGAAGACACAAGAAAACGATGTCCTCCATATCATCCGCCCCAAACTCTGCTTTGCTGTACCTGAGTAGACAGCGTATTCTACCTCCCAACTTTTGATGTCCCTATCTCCTCGGCCACACCCTTCCTTGTCCCAGCTCACCTTGGCAGCAATGCCTGCTTCATAGAAGGCCTTGTCTGCAGGTAGGAGCTGAGTGTGGCGTAAGAGCGAAACAGAAAGCCGGGCAGCCACAGTTTCCTACAGATTAAAGTCAAAGCATTATGATCCTGGCACTGTAGCGACTAAGCTACCAGACCAGTGATCTTATAACTAAAGCAGCCAGAGAACCAAAAAACCAGTAATACATATGAAATTGCTCTGGATCTCAAGTGGTTCTGGGTCTTTTTCCTCTGCACAAGAGAACTAGGCCTAGATTATTTCTATCATTCAAGTACACACAATAAATTTACATTATGCTATCACGAATCAGCCAAAGAAGTGTGTATGTTGTAAGAGATCAATACAGAAATTGTGGGATTTGAATGTTTAAGTATAATGAGCCTGGAGCTATGTGGGCAGAGTCCTAAGAAGGTCAGTGGAGGAGTCCAGGAAGAAAACCACCTCAGCGAGGGTTAAAGATTTGTTTAAACAGAAGAGAAGCTAGGAGAGAAGTGGACCAAGTTTGAGAATCCAGAACTTGAATTCATTCAACTTCAGACATTGGAAGATGTGTCTGTAAGACTGAGTGCTTCCCCCTGCCTGCCCCCCGCCCAATCTCACCAGCTGTTTGACACTCTGGGCAGCTGAGCGAGTGGCATAGTAATGAGCAATCAGCAGCATCGTCTCAAACTCCTCATGGGCTGGAGAGTTTGCCTCACTAGACTTCACCAGGTTTTCACACTAGAGCAGGAAGAGAGCACAGCCTGGGTCAGGGGTTGGAGGAGTGCCGGAGAGCTCATGGCCACCTGGACAAAGGTGCAGCCCATTTGAAGGTAAATGTTTATGTGCCTGAAAGAAGAGAGGGGGATAGGGACAGGTGGGGTAGCCTTGTAACTCTGTCATGGACCTGACTTCCTCACCAAGTTAAAGAGCACGTCCCGAAGATCAGCCCAGTTGTGATAGGCCTCAGCACTGTTGGTCCCAGGTGAGCTCACCATGTCCGTGAAGATCCTTTTGTAGATGTTGAAGTTCTAGGGGTAGTGGGGAAAGGAGAGCTGAGTGAGGAGGGGTAACTAGAAGAGAAAGTGCATGTGGGGCCGAAGAGGATACAGGCTGTAAGCATGCATGTGGAGGAGCTAGGGAACAATGATGGAGAAAGTGTTGATCATTTTCAGGAAGAGAAAGAAGAGTAAGAAAATAACTTTCTTACAATTGGCAGTCTGCGTGTGGACAGATGTGTGAACGCGAATGCAGTCACACGTTAATGGACTGATACTCCATTGAGCTGGGGTGCTCAGGTAGGAGAGCAGTGTTTAGTCTCTGAAGGAAGTTAGTAAGGCCCTAGAGGTGTGTGCAGAATTCATCTCTGAAAGGCTTCCCTGTGTTGGGCGCCTGGGTGGCTCAGTTGGTTAAGCGACTGCCTTCGGCTCAGGTCATGATCCTGGTGTCCCGGGATCGAGTCCCGCATCGGGCTCCCTGCTTGGCGGGGAGTCTGCTTCTCCCTCTGACCCTCCTCCCTCTCATGTTCTCTGTCTCTCATTCTCTCTGTCTCAAATAAATAAATAAAATCTTTAAAAAAAAAGAAAGAAAGAAAGAAAGGCTTTCCTGTGTTAGCTAAGGGCACGAGGAGGTTGCTGAAGGTATCCTCAAACGAGAAATCTTGAGTGGCTGTACATTTCAGAAGACGCTGGTGTGGGGGGGGGTCCCTGGGCATGACGCTGTCTAAAAGAATCCTTTGAGAAGACAGTTGCCGAGGGAATGGGTGGTTCTTGAGGAGAAGGTAAGACTTTCCTTGGGGAACATTCACCCTGAGCAGCAGGCTGGTACCTGTGGGTTAGCAGGAGCTCCGTGCTGCACATACAGGGCTAGTGCCTGCCCGTAGCCACCCTCTCGGATCAGGTGAGTCGCATACAAAGCCACATACTTGTGCAGAATCTTGTAGTTCTGTCCCGGAGATGGAGGAAAAGCATGGGGAGGTTGGGATCAGTAAGACCAGGCAGAGAGGGTGGGGTGGTAACTTGAGGCCATGGATTTGTTTAGGAGGCAAAGGCCTGTGTAAGTCAGGCCCAGCTAGGCCTCTGACTCCAGTTTCAAAAGGGTGGAAGACTGACTCTCTGATGCTGGTTAGGGATCTTTGGGGTTGGGCTTTGGAGGAAGTAAGAGAGATACAGCTCTGGGGCAAGGGGAGCCAAGGGAAAATGTCCAGAAGAGCTAGGGATGGGAGGAAGAGAGCAGTACCTGCTTGGTAGCCGTTTCAATGCACTTGTCCCACTGGCCCTGCTCCACATACAGGTCCAAAGCAGCCACCACATCCACACCCACCAGCTATGGATCAGTGGAAAAGACAGAGTTAAGAGGACAAACATGACATGAGCAGGGAGAGGAGGAGGGAAATCCCTTGAGCCTCCATGTGTTTGGCCTCATGCTAACTCTCTGCAAGTCTCACCGAGTCCACTTTGCCCTGGTTCTTGAGGAACTCTTTATAATGCTGGTCCACGTAGTCTTCATACCTGTGAAGATGTGCAGAGATCTAACACTACACAGTCCTGGGATGCACACCCTTCCCATGAGAACTTCTTCCTCCTCCTTACAAAAGGAAGTAAGAGAACTTCCTGGAGAGAAGGGGTCAGCAGCTTACCGGGGATCTAACTCCTTGGCCACGCGCTTAGCCTTGTTCCACTCCTCACCCTCAATGAAAGCATTGATCGCTTCCTTGACTAGGTCCAGGTTCAGGTAGAGCTCTGCAGCCTGCAGAGTGGGGGAATCAGAGCCTGGAGACCATCTCTCCTCTATTTCCACAGAACTAACTGCAGGTCACACCTGCCAAGAGGCCCACCCCACATGCCCTCCTGGGTGTAGATGGCACCGGAATTCCACCCTCTCCGTGAATCTATTTCTTTTCTGTCCCAGTACCCTACTTACTGCACTGTGCTTTCCAATTCCAATCAGCTGGGGTCCCACAGCCCGAACTACTTCCAGACTGCGTTGGGGAGGCAGAAACTTGATGGCGAGTTCAGCTGCCTGAGGGGTGGAACAGAAGATGACAATGGGTAGGAGAGACAAATACCACTGCGCATCCTCAGCCTGGTCTGTTTTTTTCCCTTCAGTTGCCAACTTTCTCTCTTGCACTCTCCCTCACCTTCTACCCTCCTGGGCAAGGCCTGCCTCACGGTCCCTCAGAGCCTTGAAATGACCATCCGCAGATCTATTTGTTCTTCTCAGCTCCTCTGTCAGACACTCTATGCTGTCTGAGGTCACTGCGTTTGGTCCTGCCCCCCTTGGACAAACTGGTTTCTCAAGTTCTTTGTCACAAACAGGATCTTGGTAGTGTGGTGTAGAGAAAGAAGGCATTCTGCAGCTATTTGTGCTGGGCTTTTCTGTGCCTCAGTTTCTTCACCTGTAAGAGTGACGGTTGGTCTAGATTTGTACCATCAGAATAGAAGCCACTAGTCACACGTGGCTAGTCCCAAATGAGATGTGCTATCAGTTTATTTATTTATTTATTTTTAAAGAGTTTATTTATTTGACAGAGAGAGACAGCGAGAGAGGGAACGCAAGCAGGGGGAGTGGGAGAGGGAGAAGCAGGCTTCCCGCTGAGCAGAGAGCCTGATGCGGGGCTCGATCCCAGGACCCTGGGACCGTGACCCGAGCTGAAGGCAGACGCCCAATGACTGAGCCACTTAGGCGCCCCGATGTGCTATCAGTTTAAATACACCCTGGGTTTCACAGATTTAGTACGAAGAAGGAATGTAAAATATCTCAATAAATTGAGAAATAAGTAGTATCAATAATATCATCAATCAATAAGGGGTGCCTGGGTGGCTTGGTCAGTTAAGCGTCTGCCTTCGGCTCAGGTCATGATCCCAGGGGCCTGGGATCTAGCCTGGAGTCAGTGCTCAGTGGGGAATCTACTTCTCCCACTTCCTCTGTGCTTCCCCTCCCCTCTGCTTGTGAGTGCATGCACACACGCTCTCTTACTCTTAAATAAATAAAATTTTCAAAAAAAAATCAACCAGGGGCGCCTGGGTGGCTCAGTCGTTGGGCATCTGCCTTCAGCTCAGGTCATGATCCCGGGGTCCTGGGATAGAGCCCCGCATCGGGCTCCTTGCTCCATGGGAGGCCTGCTTCTCCCTCTCCCACTCCCCCTGCTTGTGTTCCCTCTCTCGCTATGTCTCTGTCAAAAAAAAAAAAAAAATCAACCAAGAAAATATTGATTATATGTTGAAATTTCGAGTTTAGATATATTTGATTAGGTAAAATATAATTATTTTCTTGTATTTCTTTTTACTTATTTGAATGCAGCTACTAGGAAATTTTAAACTTTCATGTATGACTTACCTTTGTGACTTGCATTGTATTTCTTTTGGACAGTGCTGGTCTAGATGACCTTGGAGATAACTTCCAACCCTAAAACTCAGTAATTCTACAAACCTGAGCATTCTATAAGTTTACTCTTTCCACTGTGATGTTGACATCCTCATCAAATTTTAATTTCCACATACATGGTCTGTTTTAGCTACAGTCTATGTGCTAAATCCTCCTGGTCTCTTCCCCACCTATTCTTGCCTCATTTTCTTACCTGTCAAACCCTTCAAAGCTTCAAGTGTCCCATCCGGGAAGTTGACTAATCTCAAGAAGGTATAGTCATGTACAGATGCCAAAAGACAATGCTCCAGAGTAAAACATAACAGATGCTTCATAAACACTTGCTGACTAAATTTGCTAAATTTGCATAACCATCAGTCCTTCTTTCTACTTCCTCCCCCCCCCCCCCCCACCCCAACTACTAGGGGCTATTCAATTACAAGGCCTCTGAAACCCGAGGGGAATTCTGCAGGGTCATCACTGCACCAACATTTTACTTAGGGAGCTGATCAATCTCACCCCCTTGACAACTCCTAATACCATATTTCTCTGAATCAAAGATGCCTCATTTATTTTTTGTTTTAGAGAGAGAGCACGAGTTGGGAGGGGCAGAGGGAGAAGGAGAGAGAATCTCAAGCAGATTCCACGCCCAGCGCAGAGCCCAATGCAGAACTAGATCTCACAACCCTGAGATCATGACCTGAGCCGAAATCAAGAGTCAGGCACTTAACCGACTGAGCCACCCAGGTGCCGAAGATAACCTCATTTAAAACTTCACATGCAACCCAATTTCTAAGATAGTAAAATGTGATTATGTATTTGCTTAGGAATTGATGAAACATACTGGCTTAGCTTAATCTGCTAGATGCTTCTTTTCAGGAGCTCCTGTATAGAGGAGGAGCCTCTGCTTTCTTCATGGCCTCCATCTGGCCCCAGCTCTGGGCTCTGGATTTGCCCTTCCAGCTCTGGTCCTAGGCCAACCTTCTCCCTCAAGCCTCCTTGACCCCTCCAGCCCATAGAGGGCTTCTCTGAACTCCACCTCAAATCACATCCTTTAGTTTTCACTGAGATACACAATTAGTTGAGCCACGTTGGTCTAACTTCCCCCAATTTCTGGCTGTTAGGGTTCTGCCTTACAGCCCCTCTTAAAGCCTTCAGAGGTTCTGGCTCTCGCATCTAGCAAGCACTCAGCAGATGCCTGCTGCCTGAGTGAAAACGAGAGGCAGAAGAGGAAAGAGGAATGTCTGAAGAGGGACGCTGGGTGTGAGGGCGGTCCGGGAAGCGGAGGGCCAGGAAGGGTGTGGCAGGCCTCACCTTCATCCAGCACTTTTCCACCAGGCTGCTGCTGCCGCCTGAGTCCCGCACCTTGAGGTAGCAGTCGACTGCACGGCTGTACTCTCCAGCCTGCTCCCACTGTCGAGCTTGGTCCACTAGCCCCTCCATGCCCCTGAGGAGATGGGAGTACACGTGACCAGCAACAGGATGGGCAGCGCGGCCTACCCTGTGTATACCTTGTGAGCCACCCTCCAGCCCTGCCGACACTTGCTGCCTCCTGGCTTCATACCTGGCCCCCTTCTTGGTGGCTTCCCGCTCATACTCTTCCTGCAGAGCCTCCAGCTGGCCCGGCATGTAGTCCTTGCAGATCCGCAGGGCATCACTCCACAGTCCAGCCTCCTGCTCAGATTTCCAGCGATCAGGAAGGCAGAGGCAGGCATGACAGCTTCCCACTGCCACACAGGTGCTGCGTACTATGGGCCACTGGTCGCTAGGTCCTTGGACCGCTCTTCTCCTTCTTGTCTCTTTCCCTGCCGCCCGCCCCAATGCTCACTCCCTGGATCTTTCCCAGTAGCCGGGGGGTTAGTGTAGTGCTCTGTGGGATCCCATACCCTCTCACCCTCCCCTCATGGCCCTGAATCCGGTGCCCTACCTTATAATAACTGAGGGCCAGGCCCGGTCTCTGGGCCCGAAGTAGCAGTCCTTCTGCTTTCTGAAAGTCCTTCTCCTCCAAGGCCTCCCGGGCCTGCCCCATAAGCACCTCGGCGACGCTGTCAGGATCGTGGGCCTCGGCCACACGCTGAGCTGCCTCCCAGTCCTGGTTATGGACAAACCTGCTCCCAGATGAGGACACAGAAGAGGCTAAGTACAGGACTGAGGCCTCAACAGTGGGAGGCAAACAGCCATGTCACTGAGGGGGTAGGAAATTTATTGGTACTAGGTGCAGATGAAGGTGAAGGTGACAATGCCAGGTCCTGGGGCTGCACTTGGGAGGGCAGGAGTATGGAATTTATGGGTAACTCACATGAGGACTGCTTCCTTGGGTTTACCAGCCCTGATGAATTCAGCTTCAGCCCCTTCAAATTTACCCTATAGGGACAGAAGGGCAGCCACACATGATAAGCAGATTGCCATCATGGCAGCCATGAGACAGGAGGAGGTCAAGGTCAAAAGCAATGGAGAAGGATCACATCCATACCTCATCCTCCAGGTACATAGCGTATCGGAGATGTATCTCAGGGGTTTTGTGCTTGAGGGCCAGCCGAGAGAGTTCAAAAGCAAATTCAAATGAGCTAAAATGGAAGGTGTAGATAAGGTTTGTCTACTCAGTAATTTTATAAGACAAGAGGAGAAACAGGGCAAGAGAAAACAGAAAGGGCAATGACGGGGGGAGGAAAAAGGACAGATTAAGAAGACAATCCGCGGGGCGCCTGGGTGGCTCAGTTGTTAAGCGTCTGCCTTCAGCTCAGGTCATGATCCCAGAGTCCTGGGATCGAGACCCGCATCGGGCTCCCTGCTCAGCGGGAAGCCTGCTTCTCCCTCTCACACTCCCCCTGCTTGTGTTCCCTCTCTGTCTCTCTGTGTTAAATAAATAAATAAAATCTTAAAAAAAAAAAAAAAAGACAATCCGTATGAAGTGACACAGAAGCACACAGACACATAAAGGAAGACGTGGATCAGGGGACACTTGGAAAAGCCTGTGCTTCCTGTGACCAGTGGACATGAAGGAGTGGGATGGGCACGAGGCAGGGGACTGTGGTGAGCCTCACAGCACTACTCTGCCTGGGGAGCAAGGGTGCCTGGTTCTTCACCACCTCCTCCTGAGCCACATCTACACTAGCAGAAAAAAAGGGTCTCTCAAAAACAGTAAGACTACCCTTAGCAATCTGACTCAATGTAGGATTATTACTGGTCTTTGTAATACACATTTGCTGAAGAAAAGCTCTTTTTGCATTTAACAGAATCACACTTCCATTACTCAAAAGTAAGCTACTGGCTCAGTGCACCTTAGCTTTAAAAGCTGTCCTCTCTGGGGCACCTGGCCGGCTCAGTTGGGAGAATGAGTGACCCTTGATCTTGGGGTTGTGAGTTCAAGCTGCACCCTGGGCGTAGTGATTACTTAAAAAGAAGAAAAAAAAAATGCTCTCTTTCCATCATCTCCTTAGAACAGCTACAGATTAAACACTGTTCTGAGCCCCCGGGGGCAGACTACTGATTCATTCTTGCCTCTCCATCAAGTTCTTCCAAGGATTTCTTCACTCCTGCCTCAGTTTTTAGAAACGCTTCTTAGCTACACAGCAATTTTTCTTGTCTATCTAGAGGCTCTGTCTGGAACGGGGCCCATGGAGAGAAGCCTTAGGGCCTCACCAGTTGTCAGCGGCGTGGTCAATGGCAGCTTCCAGGAGTCCCAGCTTATTAAGCAGTCTAACTGCAGACTCTCCTCCCAGGCTCTTTGCCCACAGATAGGCCACGTGTTTGTGGGCAGTAGTTCCCCCGTGAGCCTTGGCCACCTGTGAAGCAAAGCCATCTGGCAATCCTTCCACGCAGGGCCACATGGCTGCTCCCGCCTCCCCTGGGACCTGACTTCAGCTTTGACAAGGGTCAGGTCCTTCTACTAGAACAGGGAGAGGGCTAAGTTTCGGGGTCTACTAACCTGCTGAGGGTCCAAGCATGGACTTCAGATAGCCCACAGACCCTTCATACCGTACGTGAAATTTTGCCTATCAGTGCGGACATTTTTCAAAGATACCGCAACCAGTTCAGAATGAGTCACTTCAGAGTGGGAAAGAGGGATGACATATCCCCAGTGTGACCTGGGCTCCTTACCCGGTAGGCCTCCTCCCAAAGCCCATTGGACCGGTACATGTTCACCGTCGCCTTCCACTCCTGAGCCTCGAGGTAGTGATACTCAGCCTCCTGCAGTCGGCCTTCAGCCTCCAGCTCCTGGGGAAAGGAGGGTCAGGATGGAGCGAGGCAGACACGGAGGCTGCTTGGAGAAGAGAGGGCCGAGACAGAAGAAGGGCTCACCTTGCCCAGGTGCAGATGTGTGTCACTGAGGAGATCTGGGTGGTGCTTCCCTACCAGGCGGATCATATCATCATACAGCTTGTGCTTTTTGAACATGGTGATGGCAAGATCAGGCTCTTCCACTGTCACATAGAGCCTGGGGAGGGGACATACACCCGGGGCCTCCTAGACCCAGATTCCTGCCCCTACAGTCATTCCCAAGAGATCCCTCAGCGCCAGCCCTGCCTGCAGCCCTGACGCCCCGTCGCCCTCCACACCTCCTCCAGGGCCGCAGCTCACCTTTCCGCCTCACGGTACTTGCCCTGCTTCTCCAGCTCCTGAGCCTGGGTGACGTACAGCACCGACACGTCTTCTGGCCTCATGCACTTCGTGGCCAGCTGTGCAGACACACAGAGCCTGAGCATCTCGGGCGCCGGGTTCCAAGGGCAGCAGAGGGAAATGCGGAGTGGCCGGGGAAGCGGGGCTTGGGGGGCTGCCTGTTTTCTCAGCAACTCTGAACCCTCCCAGCAACCGTAGGAGTTTGCATGCTGCTGCTTTCCTGGGCAGTCCAGGGAATCCCAAGTCCATACGGAGCAAAGTCAGGACTATATTCCGCTCAGGCAGGAAGGCCAGAGGTGCCCTGTGCTGGGGCACCCATTCCCGCTCCCACTGTACCCCCCGGGTTCTGGGTGCAGGCGTGGAATGAAGTTGCCACTGTGACTAGAGCTTGGGGAGGGGTATTTGGGACTCCCCAGCTCCCAAACCCTTCTGCTCGCTTCGGGATTACAGGTTTGGGAACGAGGGCCTCTTCATCCTTGCCTCTCCCTGTGGCTAGGGATCAAAGTTCTCCAGACTCTTATTTTGGTACTCCTTCTCGGCTTTCACGGAAGGGCTGAAGGGGGGAGATCAGAGCCCAGGGAAAGTGGCAACACCCCCAGAGAGGTAGAATTCTCTGAGGAATTCCACCCCGCTCTTTACCTTGTGGGCTTGCTCCCAGCGGCCAGCCTGAGTATACATGTCTATTGCATCTTTTGTGCGGTCTCCCTTAATGTAGAGCTCCTCAGCAATCTGTGGTTGAGAGAGGTAGATACAGAAGGCCAAGAGCAAGAGAGTTAAAGCGGCCTGCAGGGGGAAGAGCAAACCTCAGCCGGGACGGAGGAGAGCCAGGGAGACTGTTAGTCTACAACAGAGAAGGAAAGAGGGCTGTGGTGTCTCACACCTTCCACTGTTTTGGAAAAAAACAAACAAAACACCAGAATGGGGACAATACAATGGCAGTTTAAAAGGACCTTGCATTTCTGCAACACAAGGCAATTCTCTGTTGGAACTCTGATGGAGTTACATAGGAAGAGAGCTGGAGACTGGCTTCATAGATCTGGGAGAGGGGTCTGTGTCACGCTGGCATGAAATAAGGGGAGCAAGCTGCTTTCTTCTCACTCCAGATGGCTGGTGCTGCTGGGCCCCAGAAGGAAGGATTTGGTGAGGGGCCCCCCACTCCCTGCTCTGGGTTCTCCTCGTTAGCCTGTACTGCGTTGCTTCTGGCTCCAGGAAGGGACTCTCCTCACCTCATACTCCTGCAGAGCTGCATAGTGCTGGGCCACGCGGGGGTAGTATTTGGATGCAGTGCTCTGGTCCTGGAGATCTAATATATAAATGGCTTTCTTCCACTGACGGGCGCCCAGGGCAGCGTCCACCGCCTTAATGGAGCACCTGGCATAGTTGGGAAAGGCATCCGTGTGTGCGCACAAGAGGGAGGGAGACAGAGGCAGGGACACACCTCACGCCTACTCCAACCTGCATTTTGCCATCTCTGTTGTAGGCCTTGGCGCCCTTACTTGCCCCATTACCTTGGACCTCATGCCCAATCTCCTTTGCACCCCTCTACCTGGCTTCAATGTAGTGATTAATGGCTGCATCGAGCTGCTTCTGCTGCACCAGATGATCCCCCCACGCCTCTTCCAGTCTCACCACTTCCACTGGGAATGCCAGTCGAGCCAGCTCCACCGCTGCCAGGGACAGAGAAGGCACTCAGCTAAGACTTCCAGGGATGGGACTCAGGAAAAGTAAGACAGGGAAATGGGGTATGGAAAATAGGTGAGAAGTGGAGGAATGGAGAACTGAGCTGGTCAACCCGAAGAGATGCACAAACAGGTGCAGGGAAGGCTGGGCTGTCGGTGATAGTACCTTTCATGAACGCGCTGCCTTTACAGTAGCACTCCAGGGCCCGCTGTGGGTTTCGAATCTTCTCAAAGAGATCACCTGCCTGTTGACACATAGCACGTGACTACAACGCTAGCCCTGCTGCACAAAGAATCGAGGATCAGCCCAGCCACCGGTGCTGGGGGGGCCATGCACTCCAGGCCTCCTCTGGGTAGGAGGGGGCACTGAGTCCTGGCGATGAGGGACAGGAGTGGGAAGCCAGGCCTACCCTTTCATACAGCTCCCCCTTGATAAGGGCTGCAGTGATGTGTTCTACCAGCTCGGTGTCAGCCAGCAGTTCTTCCCGGGCCAGCACCAGTCGAGCAGCTTTGGCAGGGAGCCCAGCTTTGAGGTAGAGGCTGATGGCTGCTAGGCCATCCCCCTGGCTCTCCTGTAGTTCACCGGCTCGCTCCTCTTGCTGTGTGTCCATCAGCCACTGGTAGTAACCCCGGCGCAGCTTCTCCAGGGCCGGGTGCCCCTGGACACGCAATAGAGGCAAGAGAAGTCACATCCCTCCTTCCTGCCCTGCTGCTTCCCAAGCTTCTCCAATCCCACTGTAACAATGGAAAGCCTCCCGGTCTCCAATGTCCTAACTCCCAGCCCCAACCCTGTTCCAGTTCCTATAGCCTCCTTGGTAAGAGGAGGCTTCTGATATTGGTGGAACCGAGCTGTGAGCACCATGGAGAAGACAGAACTGGTAGTACCTTGGCCTGAGCCACTGCGATACACTCATCCCAACGGTGCAGCTCTTGGTACATGTCCATGGCCTCCTCAACGGCATTCTAGGGGAACCCGGGCAGGGGAAAGAGGGACACCAAGAAGATACAGGAGGATCAGGAATCAGCAGGCTGTCCTCAGCCTCGCTACGATGCCAGCCCATGTGGCCTGAAAGCCTCACCCTTTACTTACACACAAGCAGTGGTGGATTTATTATGAAAGTAGAAGCAGCTTAAGCCTCAGGGCACCTTATCTGCATAGGCCCCTTCCAAGGCATTTTTTCTTAAAGAGGGCTCCTCAAATTGTATAAGCTTCAGGCCCCACAAACCCGGATCTGCCTGTGTGTGCAAGAAGCGCCAGGACAGGCGGGAGTACGGGGGAGGCAGCAGATAATTTATGAAAGAAGGACATAACCGTAAGGACTAATGCAGAAGGGGAAGTAAGGAGTGCCGTTAACTGCATAAACCTTTCCAAGTGCTCTCTCCCAGCGCTCTTTCCTCCCCTCAGTTTGCCTCACTGCCCCTCCCGCCCTGCTCCCCTCTTCAGTCTGGTCCCTCTGCTCCCATCACCTGTTCCAAGAAGATCATTTCAGCCAGCTTGTAGTTCTTCTCCAGCATGGCTAGGCGTGCTCGGACCTGGTAAAAGTCTGTTCCTTCTCCACCCTGTGGGGAGGAAGAAGGTTCTGCTTATTCTGTTGGTGCTGCAGGAGCCATTCTGTCTGTGTGAGCTTAGACAGGAAGGCCACAGAGACGAGGAAGCGAAAAGACTGGAAAGCTGAAAACCTTCATGGGGCTTAGAGGATGAGGTTTGGCAGGCAATTCCAGAGTGGTCTGACTTGAGGATGGAGGTGGGGTGGGCAGAATAGAGCACACGAGCCATGGCTGGAGAGCCAGGGATCACGGGACGGAGCGTGAAGAGAAACCTCAGCTTGAGAGACTGAATAATTCAGGAGGATAATACTTGCATATTCCCGAGACACTTGATCTGCAATCTCATTGGTTTCATGCAGGAATCGAGCTTTTGCTACATGGCCCAAAGCAGAAAAGCACCTAGAGTATGGAAGCAATCATAGTAACAGCAGTATTACTATAGGATCATCGTGAATTCGTTGGCTCAGCAGATATATACTGAGCATCGATTATGCGCCAGGCACTGTTTTTGCCACTAGAGACACAAGGGGATAAGACAGATGAGGGCCTTGCTCTCAGGGGACTTACTTTCTAGTGGAAACAAATAATTAGTAAGCAAACAAAGATATTTCAGAGAATGAAAAGTAAAATAAAATAGTGTGATAGTACATACAGACAGTAATGGAGGGGATTAGTTAAGTTGGTAGTCAGAGAACGCCTATCTGAGGAGCTGACATTTGAGCCAAGACCTAAATACAAGAAAAAGTCAGTTCCACAAGATGGGAAAAAATTATTCCAGGCAGAGGGAATACCGCGTGTAAGGTGTCACAGCAGGAGGGAGTTTGAGATGCTCAAAGGGCCCAAAGGATGCCAGTGTGGCTGGAGACATGGGCAAGTAGGTACCTGGTATATGAAGGAAGCAGAGGCCAAATATCATAGGGCCTTAGGACATGGCAAAGACTATGGATCTTATACTAAGGAGAACAGTAAGCTGCTGGAAGGTTCTGAGCAAAAAAGTGACAATCTAATTTATGGTTTAAAAAATGATCTCAGCCATTATGGGCTGAATGGATGGTAGGGTGTAAGAACAGTATGAGTGAGACTAAGAGGCTTCTGGGACACTGCAGGTAGAGAGAGGTGTGGTCTGTTCTAGGGTGGAGACAGTAGGGCTGGGCAGTAAGGGCTTCAGGACATGTGCTGAAGACGCTGGGTCAGGGCCCTAGGACGAGCGGGTCATCTAGCTCTGGGGGCATGAGAAAGGAGGGAGCTGAGGACTCCTGGCAAAACAGCAGCAGTTGATGTTCACTGAGCACTTAGAATCTCCCACTTTCTTCACTGCTCCCACAGTTCCTCTTGACCGCCCTAGGGGGTAAATTCTATTATTACTCCCACTTTACGGAAGGGAAATCGAGAAACCCCAAGGCTTGGAAAGGTTCACTTAACCTACGGTTATACAAGCTGGTAAATGGAGCCAAGATAACTCAGAGAGTCTGGAGTCCTGAGTTTGTCCTACTAACTATACTCCTATACCACATTCGGAAATACACAACACACAGATTGGGCGGTATGGGTGTTAAAACTCTGAGGGGCACCTACTTACAAGAAAGGGAAGCAAAAACAAGAGAACTCCTATAACCTGGGATGGAAGAATGTTTGGACGGGTTCTAAGACATCTGTTGGCACCGGAGGGGAGCGGTGCCTTAGCACTGGGAGGAGCGGCTGTCCTTTCTAGCTGCCCGGCACCTCAGTTCTGGTCTGCCTCACCTCTCGGCGATGTGCAGCTGCCGTGCCTCGAGCGCCAGTCTGCTCAAGGTTTTCCACATTGCCTCTGTTTCTGGGGTCATTTCCAGAGTCTCCAAGAAGGCTGTGGCCCTGAAGAGAGAAGGAAGGAAAGCAGGAGTCCAGGGTCAGCAGGACGCAGAGGAATACTGGTGATGCAGCCGCGGGCGACGTGGCCAGTTGTCCGGCCCATCCGAGGTCCTCCCGCCTCAGAACCGGACTCTCCCACCACCTCCCGGGGTATCAGCCCAGCCCCTCACCGGCTGTAGTTGCCGTCATCAATGGCTGTTCCAAACTCGATCAGGCCCTCGTCCAGCGTGTAGGCAACCGTAGTCACACCTTCGGTCACCATCACCTCGGTCTTCCCCCCGCCCCGCTCCAGACCTACCACATCGCCCTGTAAAATTTCAATCCCCACCCACCGAATTCCAGGTTAGTGTTTCCATTGACTCCATTGCAGAACAGACCCACCCTTACCCAACCCTAGCGCTCACACACCGGGGGAATTACAGCGGCCCTTGGTTGCCTAACATGTAGTTCCTTTCAAGCAGGTATGAATTCCTTCGCTATGCTAATGCCTTCGGGTTAAAGTACACTCAGAGCTTTGCGGCACTAATGCCTGGAGGTAAAGTGACAATGTGTGCATCCACTTCTTCCTGCTTGAGTCCTTCTGTTAAATACAACTTCTACCTGGGACGTACTTTTTAACGCATTCGTTGCTGAGTTCACCTGAAGAAATCACTAGGCATGCTTCCTAGTCTCCCACAGGAGGGAGGGAGGGAGGGAGGGAGGGAGGGAGGGAGGAAGGAAGGAAGGAAGGAAGGAAGGAAGGAAGGAAGGAAGGAAGCTAAAACCTGAGCAGGAAAAAAACAGGAGAGCAAGCAGAAAGGGTACAGTTTCCCTGATGGCAAACACAGTAGTGGGCGAATAAATCAGGGATCCTCCAGCAGGATGAGGGGGCGAATCTGAGAATCCCTCAGTCATGAAATCTGGGATCGTCTCTTTAAGAAAGGGAACAAAAGTCATTAATATGCCTGATTCCTGCAGAAGCAAACACTAATCATCTCTGGAGGAAAACATGCCCATGTTAGGCCCTTGAGATTCTAAAAGATTATATTCAATGTAACATGAGCCCCAATTAAAAAAAAAAGTACCAAAATATAAGTTAACCACCATAAAGCAGTAAATAATAACTACAGCACTTTTGGACCTCCAAGGATTTCCAATATTAAAAATAACAGTTATGAAAAAAACAGTTATGGAATATAAAATAAGTGTAAAATGTTTAAAGACCTACAAGATGGAGTGAAAAATTAAACAAGAGACAAGAGACTACAAAAAATAGCCAGGTTGTACTCACTTCGGCAGCACATTTACTAGAAAATGACCAGGCAGACTGGAGAAAGAACCAAATAAAATTATGTGAAAAATTCAATATTTGAAGTGAAAAAAACTCAGTGGGTGGTTTCAATAGCAGAGGAGACAATGGTGAAAGCGAACCCCTGACTTGCAAGATGTTTCTTAAGGAATTACCCCGAATGCAGCATGGAGCAAGAAGGAGAAAGGAAGAATAAGAGGTTACAGAGGCACAGAGACAGGACAAGAAATGGAACACATGCCTAATTAGAATCCTGAGGGTGAGACTAGAGAGTTCGAGAGAAGCAGCAACATTTGAAGAGCTCATGGCTGAGGAATGACGTGTCCTGGCAGATGCGCCCCCCCCCCATACACACACACACACGCATATACACCAAGCACGATAAGTAAAAGGACATTTATATGCAGACATATTGTAGTGAAGCTTCCGAATGCTGAAGAAAAAGAAGACTTTATTTTTTTATTTTTATTTTTTTAAAGATTTTTTATTTATTTTTTAGAGAGCAAGCGAGAGAGAAACAGCATGAGAGGGGAGAGGGTCAGAGGGAGAAGCAGGCTCCCCGCCGAGCCGGGAGCCCGATATGGGACTCGATCCCAAGACCCTGGGATCATGACCTGAGCCGAAGGCAGACGCCTAACCATCTGAGCCACCCAGGCACCCGAAAAAGAAGACTTTAAAAGCAACAAGACAGGGCACCTGGGTGGCTCAGTTGGGTAAGTGTCTGCCTTAGGCTCTGGTCATGATCCCAGTTATGGGACTGAGCCCCACATCCCTCCCTGCTCAGTGGGGAGTCTGCTTCTCCCTCTGCCCCTCCCCCTGCTCCTGCTCTCTCAAATAAATAAAATCTTAAAAAAAACAACAACAAGACAACAGAAGGGGCTGTTAATAAACTCAGAACTAAAGAAGTCAGTCAATGGGACAGTATATGTGAAAGTCTAAGAAAAACTGTCAATCTAGAAATGGGAACGGAGTCCAAGTATCTTTCAAGAACAGGCCAAATAAAAACATTTTCAGATAATTCCATTTCAGTAATTTTCAGAAACTGAGCATTTATCTTTAAAACACTTTCCCTCAAGGAGAAGAAAAATAACTCCAGAGGGAAGATCAGCAATGCAAAAAGAAAAAGTGAACAGAGAAACTGGCACCATGATGGGAAATGTAAACAAATTCTGGCTGTGTATAAGAATAATGTCTCGCTTTGGGGATAACAAAACACTGGACAATAATGGTAAAGGGGACGTAATCAAAGTTAAGGTCCTTGTATCATCTGCCGGGGGATCTGATGCTAAATAACTTGAGACTATTAATTTAAGGAAATGGTAAACTTCAGAGGGTAATCACTATAGGAATCAAATGTATAACCTCCAAAGCAAAAAAGTGAAAAATGGTGTTTTAAAAAAGGACAAAACAACCCCCAAACCCAAACTTAATTAGTCTAAAATGAGGTAAGAGAGGAGGAAAAAGAGATATAGAAAAAGGACCAAAAGAAACTATCCTGGGCGCCTGGGTGGCTCAGTTGGTTAAGCGACTGCCTTCGGCTCAGGTCATGATCCTGGAGTCCCTGGATCGAGTCCCGCATCGGGCTCCCTGCTCGGCAGGGAGTCTGCTTCTCCCTCTGACCCTCCCCCCTCTCATGTGCTCTCTGTCTCTCTCATTCTCTCTGTCTCAGATAAATAAATAAAATCTTTAAAAAAAAAAAAAAAAAAGAAACTATCCTGTGCTCTCTACCCACACCAGTCATCCTACCCTAGCACAGGGGCCTCTCTTGTTTGCACGGGATCCTCCCAGATTTTGGAAGATCACTGGAATGTACGTGATGCCGGCAGGATAGGAGAGTGGCTGATTTTCAGTCTGATAAAAAAGGAGCTCTGAATGGCTTACAACAGAGAATCCACACACAGGAACTGACACAGAACGGCCCCTCCTAGGGGTGCTCTTCCAGATTAAGAGAACTCACTATGACCTGGTGAATTCCCAGGGCCACTGTAACAGAGAGGCACGTTCCAAGGACCTAATACAGTGTCAGGAATCTGAACAAGGATGGTTTTGGGACCTAGGCCATTGTGGGGAAGGATCGAAGCTTTACTTGCCAACTCTATCACAGACATGATAGGTGGTGGGACAGAGAAAACCAAATAACCGCTGGAGCTTCCTCAGGGCCCTAACTGATGAGTTTGCCACTTTGTCTGAGGTACCCTGGTGCCGACGTACCCTAATAGAGGACGTGGTGACCCTCTCAGGTGCCTCAATGTTGTACCACACACACAAGCTGTTTCGGTTCTGAGCTACCAGCACATCACTTCCTGGAACCCACTGCACGTAGGAGCAGAAGTTGAGGATCATTGTCTTAGCGCAGCTTTCAATATCGTATAGATGTAACTGAAGAAAGAAGAGGTAGACAGCACAATTAGAAGGGGCTATGGGGTGTCTTCTGATCTTGACCATTTCTCTAATGGTGAAATGTGGCCAACTGACCCACCAGTCAGGCAGATACTGAATTTCAAAGCTTACCAACCATCAACACTTGAAGTTTATGTTGACTTGGTATATCCTGACTCTGGCCAGTAAGAGATGACCAAGTGAGCAAAGAGCTACACCCAGAAATTTAAGTTAGGTGAAGGTCAGACTTTCATCCTTAGAGTAACTCTGGGCCAGAGCTGCCAGACTGGATTACAAAAGTAAGGCCACCAGGCACATTAAATGGTCTGGAAATTTGCGGTGTGGCTTTCACATCACAATGAAAATGAAATGAAAAATCACCAGATAGTCTCTTTGCCCTTGAGGCTGAGCTCTTTGGTGATACCATATTGAGATCAGAGTCAATAAGGGGCTTGGGGGAGACTGTCCTCAGGCCAGCTTTTATGCTGTCAGGTAAGTGTAGCTGAGGAACACTGGAACAGGTGTGGGTAAAGGCCAGCTAGGCATGTGGGGGTGAGGCAGTTTCATGAGGGCAGAGACTTGTGAATAGTAAAAGAGAAATCAGCTCCCAAACTCCCCTCTTGACTCTGGTGCCATCGTGATACCATCTCCTTAGAGGTAATACAGGATGGGCTATGACAGCAGACACAGTGTTGATTCTTCTGTGCCTTTTGCTATGTTAAAGGCATAGCACACCAAGAAATTATGTCCCATCCTGCCCCCCCCGCCCCCCCGCAATCTCTGGTAGTAGGTACTAAGTACCACATCCTGTACGGATGACTCAATGGCTAAGGCCTTACACGAAGTTTCCGGTCCCTGAATAGAAGCTTATGCCCAGTTTCATTAAGTTCCAGCCAATCCACACGGCTCTCGTGGCTGATGGTGCCAATGTTGTAGCCACCAATCAGATCCACTACAAAGTAAAGGAGACAGGGTTAAGGAGACAGATTCCACATAATCATATACAGGCCACGAGGCCGGCTGCCCAAGTCTTGCCTTCAATCATATGTTGGGCTCAGTCTAGAGTATGAGGAATACGACATAATTTTGCTAAGATGCTTACAATACTAGATTTCTACTAAAACTGTAGAGGTTTTGTTTAACTCTGTAGTTAACTCAAAAGGTCTAGGTCCATCAAGAAATGTGATTCCTCTCTGGGACTCTTGGGGTTGTCTCATAGCAGGTCAGAACAGATCAGAGCAACTGGCTTCCGTTACTCACGAAATCCTCTGGAAGGCAGCACTGAGCACATTAAGGAAGAGCCCCAATTCCAGCACACCCCTGAGAGAAAGCTGATGGATGAAATGACCTTGATGAACATATCTGCTCCAAGGAGTTACCTGCACTTTGAGTGCCTATGATGTCAGAGCACGAGGGGCAAACAGTGGAGAAAGCACACAGACCAAACAGGAGGAACCTCTGACTAAAGTTAGGCTGAGTGTGCTGAGGATGTGTATTTCAGTTTGGTATGAATTTTGTTGAAAATATAAGATATGCTCACACTTAGACCACTTTGGATTGGCTAGGATGCTTTCAGGGAGTCTCTTGAACACAGCCCATTCACAACTCTCATTTGTATACGTTACCAATGCGCAATGTCCTACCTTTGTCATACGTGCTGAAGCTAAAGACCAAACGCCAGCTAATGTCTACAACTGGGAAGACCAACTTAAAAATGAAATTTCCTTTAATTAAAAAGCAAAATGATAAAGCCATGTTTTAATGTCCCGAATTATAAGTAGAATCATAGAATACTAGAACTGTGGGGACCCTATTTCTGTGAACACCCTGAAATTATATACAAAAGTATATGTTTATGTATTTTCTTCTGGGATATGATCTATGATTTTAATTAGACATTGAAAGGGGCCGGTAACCAAAAAAGGTTAAGAGAAGAATTCTGTCATTTTATATACTATTGAAGATGAGCCCTATGGAGTGTAGTGACTTGTCCAAAGTCTCACAGCTCATTATTGCCACTGGAGCACGGGCCACCAGACTTTATTATTTCCATTACAGACACTTACATTTCTGAGCTCAGCAATCTGATATGAAATATAAAACTCATGAAATGTAAAAGTAACCTAAGAATAGACCCATATGTATTTGGAAACTTGATTGATAAGAGGTGACATGACAAATTAGTGAGCACAGAATGGATTTCCAGTAAGTTGTTAAATACGGAAAAAAATTAAATATGATCCATACCCACATTATGCACAAAAATTCCAGATAAAAAGCAAACTTTAAAAATATTAAGATATAAGAGGGAGTAGGAAACTTTTTCTTTTTTTAAAGTTTTATTTATTTACGTAATCTCTACACCCAACTTGGGGCTCAAACTCATGACCCTGAGATCAAGAGTCGCATGCTCCTCTGACTGAGCCAGCCAGGTGCCCCAGGGAAACTTCTTAAATGAGACCTCAAAAATTACAAACCTACTTAAAAGTGATTAAATGAACTACATTAAAATTAAAAATGTCTGAACACTAAAAGAGGCTGAGACAAAATATCCGCAATACAAATGACCATCAAAGGCTAGATACACACATACAGAGAACTCCTTTAAGTCAATAAGGAAAAGACAGCCTGATTTTAAAAATAGGCAAGGGATAAGAACTGGCAATAAGCAGCAGAAGAAATCCAAGCGGCCAATAAACAAATGAACAAACAAAAACTAATATGATGAGATATTATTTCACATACGTCAGAGTGAGCCAAATTATGAAGTCAAGCAATTTCAAGTATTGCAGAGGATGCAGAACACTGGGACCTCTAACTGCTGGTGGGAATGTAAATTGGTACAATCTCTTTGGAGAGCAATTTGGAAATATTTAGTGAAGTTGCAGATGTACCTCTTCTATGATTCAGCAGTTCCACTCTAGGTATAAACCTTAGAGAACCGAAACACTGGAAACAGTGAAAAACCAACAACTTAAACGTCCCTCAGTAAGAGGAGAGATAAAAGATCCAAAGTAAATATATGAAAGGTCAGGACATGATAGAACTAGGTATGAATATGCAACTAATAATAGTATTATTAATAGCTAACATTTATTAAGTGCTTATTATGTGCCAGACATTAGTCTAAGTGCTTTTCATATAAGGTAGGTACTATTTTTATCCCCATTTTGTGGATGAGGGAATTGAGATACAGAAAGGTTAAGACACTTACCTAAGACCACATGGGTATAATTGCAGAAGTTGGGAGGTTTGACTCCAGACCCTTGTTCTTAACAAACTACACTATACGGATATACTATTCTCTATACTTTGTAGGGAATACTATGCTATTCTATATACATTTTTCTCTGCTTGAAACATTTCATGATACAGAGTTAACTATTAATATATAAAATAAGATTTATTTATTTATGTGAACACTTGTGAAATTCAAATAAAGTTTGTCATCAGTGGCTACTAATGACAAACTACAGAAAATAAGTCCCCTCTCGGTTCAAATAGTCCATTATCCTATGAAGTCTAAAGAGGAAAATTCATAAATTTACTAATGGTTCCTCTCTACAATTCACAATTTCCAGCCCCAAGATACATGCCCAGAGAACACAAATAATTATATGGACAGGCCGATATATGTAAGAGTGTATCTGTATCTGTATCTACATAGCCAGATGCAGACTCGCACACACGGATTTGAACACTTCACACATCCTCTGTAAGAGCAGGGTCACACATTTACCTGGTGCCTCTTGGATTCCTGGATTCTCCACCATACACAATCCTGGGACATGGAAGCGTACTATAAACATCTGTTTTGTTATCAGAATTATGAGAGAGTTTTACTCACCTATAGCAATAGTCTTAATATCAACAAGATAAGCCAATTTCTTATTGTCTTCCATTCCTCGTTGACGCCTCTCATTAATACGGACACTGAAACATGAAGGGTGAAGTAAGGCAGAATGAGCTTGGGCCATCGAGATGTTTATCAAGGGCCCTGAAGTACCATATGGGATGAGGTTTTTAGATTAATCTTGAGGATACAGGAGTTAGAAGTTAAAAAGGAATTCTTTGGGGTTTCAAAAATTTAGAGAACCGGGCGCCTGGGTGGCTCAGTTGGTTAAGCGACTGCCTTCGGCTCAGGTCATGATCCTGGAGTCCCTGGATCGAGTCCCGCATTGGGCTCCCTGCTCGGCAGGGAGCCTGCTTCTCCCTCTGACCCTCCCCCCTCTCATGTGCTCTCTCTCATTCTCTCTCTCTCAAATAAATAAATAAAAACTCTTTAAAAAAAAAAAATTTAGAGAACCTTGTTGGGTTACCTGATGAGGTGGGGGTTCATGAATTCAGTACGTACAGAACCCAGGGTATCATTACTCCCATATTCCACCAGGGTTAGCTCTCCAGCATTGAAGATCATGCACACCTGGGGATGAATGGAACTGTCACGTGGTGGGAAGTTTGCATGAAGAAAGAGACCAACAGTAGCAAATGGAGGTGTCCTGTCAGTGCAAAGTGACTCTCACTTTTCTCTTTATTCTGTTCCTGTGCCTATCTCACTCTCCCTTCTTTATCTGCTCTCTCCTCAACCCCTTGCCACTTGCCATCCTTCCAACATAGGAGCTAGAAGGAGGCTTACTGAGATGATGATGGTTAATCAAGCTCTACTCACATTTTCATTTTCAAAGAAATACTTCTCATTGCCACCAGATCCCTGCCAAGCTACCTGTAAAGGAGGGAGAAGACATAAGGAACAATGTGGATAAGTATCCAAGACAACGCTGAAAGAAGGACAGGGTAGGAGGCAGAGAGATTGACTTTAGGAAGGCCTTGATGTTGCACAAAAGAGGTGCTACGTCAGATTCTGCCCTAGGTTTCTAGGTTTCTGAGAGATGGTGTAAAAACAGTCCAACAGTGGGGGTTCACATTCCAGGATTCTAAACCTCTGGGGTCTCACTCCCAGGTCCACCAACTCCCCAACACCAGCATGTTAGAGCTTTCCTCAGAGATCTTCCCCCTAGGGACCTGGCTCCCCTGAAGTAGCAACTCAAGATGCTCCATTCCCCCCCACCCCATCTGTGGTTCCTACCTCACTAAGGCGATTAGTGTTCAGGTCCCCCAGCAGCAGCGTGTCTGATGTGTGGGCCACCAGGTAACGTTCCTTTCCCAGGATTTTCACCTCTTCCACTTCATAGCCATAGTGTGACTTGAGTACCACTCGGGTCCCCGATGACAGGTTCTTCACAATCACCTTGATAAGGTACAAGTCTGAGCTCCCCGAGGTTTTCCCCAACCCAAAAGAGGGGTGAACATGCCGTGCCCCCTGCCCACCTCCACAGTGTTAAACAAAGCTAATATCTTGTTTCCTCACCTAGCCTAGGCTATTGTTGGTAAAAATGACACCTCACATTCACGTAGTGCTTTACTATTTATGAAATGCTTTCAAAGATGATCTCTTTCAATGCTCATAATACATAATACATATGGGGTAAAACCACTTTCTTTACATTCCTATACCTCTTGTGAACATCTTTGTGATGACTTTAACCATGGTGTACTATACTGTCATTTCATATACCTGTCTCCTTAGCTAGAATGATCTTCTTGATTAAGGGACAATATAAAACAGATAATTATCTTTGTGTTCTCAATACCTAACAGTGCTCATGCATAGAGAATGGACAGAAAATGAAAGAATGGGGTGCCTGGCTGGCTCAGTCAGAGGAGCATGCAATTCTTGATGTCAGTTGTGGGTTTGAGCCCCACGTTGGGTGTAGAGATTACTTAAAAATAAAATCTTAAAAAAAAGAGGGGGTGCCTGGGTAGCTCAGTTGGTTAAGCATCTGCCTTCGGTTCAGGTCATGATCTTGGGGTCCTGGGATCGAGCCCCAGGTTGAGCCCCACTTCCGAGTATACTCCCTCCCCTTCTGCCCCTCCCTCCGCTCCTGCACGCGTGTTCTCTCTCAAATAAGTAAACAAAATCTGAAAAAAAGACAAAAAGAAAGAATGAAGGGACCAATGAATAATAAATAAATGGAAGGAAAAGAGGACAGAGGTAGATAAAAGAGAAAAGTGGGCTCAGGAACTAAGAAATTACCTTGCAATGTCATACACAGTGAGTTCAGAGGCCCTAAAGCAATGTTATGCACCCGCGTAATCCTAAACTCCCCAGTTGACAGCATATAGGTAGTAAAGTTTTTTCTGTTTTGCTTGTTTTTGTTTTTTGTTTTGTTTTGTTTTAGAGAGGGACAGGGATATGGGTTGGGGCAGAGGGAGAGGGAGAGAGAGTATCTTAAGCAGGCTCCACACCCAGTGCAGAGCCCTATGTGGGGCTTGATCTCACAAGCCTGATCATGACCTGAGCTGAAATCAAGAGTCCAGCGCTTAACTGACTGAACCACCTAGGCGCCCCAGGTAGTGAAGTTTTAAACCAGGACGTTGTAAGTGGCGATCTCTGTACCCTTTAAGTCTGGTGTTTAAATTTTTTCTTACAATAAGCTGGAAGTGCTACAGCAGGAAAGTTGCCAAAGAGTTGCCCAATACACTCTGTTCTCCAGAACAGCTCTGCCAGGGGTTAAATTTGACACTGTGGCTGTGTCCACAAGGTAGGAAAGCATCACAAGGATGAATGAGCGCTGGCAAGATCTTGGTGCAGCAGGCTATCAGCTGCTTACCTGGCTAGGTCCCACATATGTCAACTCAAACTTATTCTTGTAAATGCTCCTCCGGAGGCAGCAGTCAAACTGTTCCACTCCACCACAGAGTGTGCCCTAGGAGGGAAAGCGACAGCATAAAAGGTAACAGGCATGGGGAGGATATCTAGAGACACCCTCAAAACCTCGGTTCTAGAATCTAGAGAAGAGCTGGCAGTAAAAGGGCTGGCAGTTTTGGGAAGTACCAGATGGAAAGAGGTGGCAATCACAGGACTCAAGGATAGTGATGGGATGAAAGGGAGAAATGAGCCCTGCCTACAGAATTCTTTGTCTCTTTCGGCTTCCAATAAAGTGCGAATTTCTCCTTCCTGCCTTTAACGTCGTATTTTTTTTTTTTTTAAAGATTTTATTTATTTATTTGAGACAGAGAGAATGAGAGAGAGAGAGCACATGAGAGGGGGGAGGGTCAGAGGCAGAAGCAGGCTCCCTGCCGAGCAGGGAGCCCGATGCGGGACTCGATCCAGGGACTCCAGGATCATGACCTGAGCCGAAGGCAGTCGCTTAACCAACTGAGCCACCCAGGCGCCCCTTTAACGTCGTATTTTTAGGTTGGAGTCAAAAGGGAAGAGACACTCTAGTTTCAGGGGACAGTGCTTTAGGATAAGGCTGGATTTTTCCTAGTTTGGAGAAAGTCACCCATGCAGAAAGGGATTACTAGTAAAACACACCGCACAGAGTCGTGAGCCGTCCCGTTTCCAGGCCAAGGCAGTGACGGTGTATAAGTTGGCAATCTCCTTGGGCTTTGCCTCTTCCCAGATGCTTCTTCGAGGGCTCCAGTTGAGCACCCTAAGTCTGAAATTAAGTAGGTGGCTTTTAGAAGAGATGGAGGCTGAGCAAAAGAATGGAAATGGGTGGGGAACTGAGGGCAATGAGTTTTGCTGTATTAGAGAAGAAAGGAAGTAAAAGAGAACACACAACCTAGGGAATCTCATAGGAGAGGACAAAAAGATTCAAAGGAAGGAAGTTGGAAAAATCAAGCCAAAAGTAAAATGGGGTGAGAGTGATGGGAGTGGAGAAAACAAAAGGAGATCATGACTGGTGAGAAAAATGAGCTGTTAGCAATAGAGAAATAAGGAAAAAGAAAAGAGAAATGGTAGAAAACAGAGAAAAAGGAAGGAAGAGACCCACATGAGATTGAAGGGGATACAAGGACAGGGCTGACAAAGCTGACATGAGGGGACCCGGGTCCTAGCTGTTTATTTACTGTTCCATCATCCATCCATCCCTCCATTCATCCATTCATTCACCAAACACTTAAGCATATATTATGTACTACATGCTACTTTAGGCAATGGAGATTAAAACAAAATGAATAGGCCCTCTTCTCAAGGGCGTTTCAATTTAGCCAGATAGCTATAAAAACCAAAGTGTAATATAATGTGACAAACACTAAGCCAGTGGTCTGAAAAGAAGCAATGGTAATACAAAGAGAGTGGAGATGAATTCCACTGTGGAGTCCCAGGGAGAGGCACGGAGACACAAAATCCTGGTGTCAACGGATGGTGGGAGCAGGAAAAGGGAAGTGTGTGAATTAAAACCTGAGGATCTCTGGGCGCCTGGGTGGCTCAGTTGGTTAAGCGACTGCCTTCAGCTCAGGTCATGATCCTGGAGTCCCTGGATCGAGTCCCACGTCGGGCTCCCTGCTCAGCAGGGAGTCTGCCTCTCTCTCTGACCCTCCCCCCTCTCATGCTCTCTGTCTCATTCTCTCTCTCAAATAAATAAATAAAATCTTAAAAAAAACAAAAAACAAAAAACAAAACACCTGAGGATCTCTTTCAACATATACGTGCTTCTCATCCAGCCTCCCACTCTGCTTGAGATTAACTGGGCTACAGCAGAGTGTACACAGGGAAAGTAGGCAGAAGATGCACGTGGAGAGGGACCCACCTGTCATAACTTCCCAACACAACAGACTGGCCCCCAGGACTTGCGGCAGCTGTGGTGAACTCCCGCTCCTGAGGGTTACGGCTGTAATCAAAAGTTTGTAGCACATGGCCTTCCTTTCCATAGGCCACAATTCTCCGATCACAGCCTGCAGCCACAATGCTGTTGGTTGCCCAAGCCAAGGCATAGGGTGGGCATGGGTGGTTAACCAACTTCCCCTAAGACAGAATAGAGGGTTTCAATCACTCTGACTCTGACACCTCCAGCCCGGAATTTCTCCTTTCTAGCCCCTGACACACTCACTCTGACCATCCTACTCTATAAATCGTCCTCCCAACATCTTCCCACCCCAACACATCCTAATCTGGAGGACTTCACAAACTGTCTTTCTGTTTTATACTCTCACACACATATGTATCACATACGTACACACTTACTGACATTGTGCTCAAGAGGAAACCTCAAAATACTTATATGTTAGAGTTCTTTAATAATCCTACACATTAACTAACCCTGGGTAGGCCCACAGGGAGCATGAGACTCTTTCTTTTTAGAGTAAATAAATTTAATTATTACATGAGTAATTCTTTTTTTACAGTCTTAGTTATTTAAGTAATCTCTACACCCAGCGTGGGGCTTGAAGTCATAACCCTGAGATCAAGAGTCGCATGCTCCACTAACTGAGCCAGCCAGGTGCCCCTATACAAGTAATTCTTAACGTAAGTTATTCAAACAATAGAGAATTATACAAAGTAAAACATGAACATTCCTTTTATCTCCCACCTTTTTCCCTTTTCCCTCTTGAGAGCAAATGACTTTTTTCCCATGAATTTATACACATAAATATACTTTTTACATAGATGAGAATAATTTTCACTTTCCCTTACTCTCAGAATCCTTTCCACTTGATTTCCCCTTGCCCACAAATATTAAGCTCTGGCCTTAATACAAATTCTCTCTGTGGCTGCATCCAAATGTGCCTCTCTTTCTCTCTGTCTCCTTTAGCCACCTCCCCCATGCACCTCAATCTTAACGTTCAACCTCCTCTAGCAGGGATTTTGGGTTTCCTTACCCCCATCCCACAGCATCCGTTAGTCATACCTGTGACTCTCCAGAGCCTTCATCATCAAAGAAATACCTAACAATGGTACCATCTGCATGACCAGAGAGAATTCCTTTTCCAGAGCAACTATAAAAGGGGAAGAGGAGGAAAGAGATTATTCTGTCTCACCAAGAAATCCCCCTTCTCTGTCAAACATTACCCTACCTGGGCTCCCTGCTACCAGTCCGCCCCATCTTCCATATTATGGTCTCCCAGTCCCGATATCCCCATCGCTTCTTCCTACATTTCCAAGCTCCTGGGATATGTTCTTCCTTACTCACTTTGTCGTCAGTGATACCACATAAGAGTCTGTCCCATAGATGGTAGATGATTTATTAGTTTTAGTGTTTGCTAAACGAACCTGAAAATGGGAAAATGGATACAAGTCTGGTTAAGCTACTTTCAATCCCACCCAGATTCTAAGGAAAGAGAAATAACAAAAAACTGGTCCTTCTGTTTTCTCCCCCAACATACAATTTGACCCTAAGGGAGAAGTTTAACCACATTTCTCTCTCCAGAACCATTATCCCCACCCACAACCTCTCCTGTGTTTCTCTTCCTACTTTACCTTCCCTTCAGCCAGTCCAAAGACAATGATGTACTCTGCTGGCCACTGCAGACACGTGACAGCACTCTGTAAAGAGGAAATCATGAAAAGGATAACCCTGTCCATGTAGCCTAGCACATTTATAACAAACTGAATCCCCCGCCACAGGCCACCACCCCAGTTGCCTATAGCAGAAGAGAGGACACGACTGGGCTCAAGAAGGAAAGGAGATGAGGATGAGCAGCAAAGCAGCACCATCCTTGCAGTTGGAAAGGTCGGATTCACATGTTAAAAAATGCAACTCCTGGTTACATTTGTAAGTAGATATATTGATACATGTTTGTTCATCCTAATCTCCCAGAGACAGGTCTGAAGTTTACCGTCTGGATGAATTTGTTACAGATGACTTTCTTGTCACCCCTGCCAAATAAAAGGAGAGAAAGCATATTAAAAACACTTTCATAAATAAATTGTCACGCATGATGCTGGGAGAAGGGAAGAAAGAGCAGATACCTTCCCCGCCCCCTCTAGTGTTTCCTACCATTCCACAGGAGCCCTGAAAAGAGGCATAAAACGGAGCCTGAACAGCTTTGGAACAGTAACAAAGATGCTGTATCACCAAGGGCTCCCCAGAACCTCAAAGGGTCTCATGTTGACCTTAGGCTGATTCCACCGGGGATGGGATCTCAGAACACATAGGGCAGGCAAAGGTAAAGAAGCAGCATCAGACTCTGGAAGGCCTTTGCCTTCCATGTCCCAGCCTGGACCATCATCTTCTCTACTCCCTCTTTCCCAGGGAGGCATTTCTTCCTGCCTTCCCCTTCTTTTCCAGGTCACCCCATCTCCCAGTCTCTATCCTCACCAATCTTCTCCAATCTTGTACACATAGATGATGTTGTCGGTCTGTCCTATGGCAATTTTAGTGGAATCAGGAGAAAAAGCCATGCCTTTCACCATATAGCTCTTCCTGCCATACTAGGAGTTAAAAGAAAGAAAAGAAAAAGAGGTAATGAGTACACATGAAAGAGAGAAGAGAAGAAAAGGTGTATGTGTGACTGTAATGAGTTTGAGGGATTTATCCTGAGAAAAGAAGGGCCAGGCCATTTCCTATGCCGATGGCTGGGGAAGTTGGTTAAGAAGTTTTCCAGATTCATGAGGCCCCATCAACAGATTAAGTACACACAGAGTACTCTCTTCACCTTCATGTCAGCTGGTTTGGTGGAGAATTTATCTCTCCGCTCCCCATGCTCATCGTATAGCAACACCACTCGGTCCACTGTGCAGACAGCAAATTTGGCATTGTTCTGGGACCAAGCCATGCAGGTCACCTTTGCAGCTCCATCCTGCAGAGGCAGTGGGGGCAAAAATAAACCCAGGTGTTCATCTAGAATGACAAAAGCGGGCGCCTGGGTGGCTCAGTTGGTTAAGCGACTGCCTTCGGCTCAGGTCATGATCCTGGAGTCCCTGGATCGAGTCCCGCATCGGGCTCCCTGCTCGGCAGGAAGTCTGCTTCTCCCTCTGACCCTCCCCCCTCTCATGTGCTCTCTCTCATTCTCTCTCTCTCAAATAAATAAATAAATAATCTTAAAAAAAAATAGAATGACAAAAGCATTTCTAGTTCCTTTAGTTCTAGTGTGACTTTGGTCAATTTCCCCCATGATAGTCCTTAAAACAAAGAGATGTCTGTGATGTATCCTGGTCTCCAAGGCTATAAAACCCTGGACCAGGAGAACAAGGTGCTTTAGAAACCCATAATGCAAATACACTAAGAGGTGACTTGCTGAATCAACTGTACCAATGTGCCCCTGCAATGGCCTTGCTCCCTCATATCCCAGGACTGCGACTGAAATAAATTCAATTGGTCTGATAAGTTTTTGTTTTTTTTTAAGATTTTATTTATTCATTTGAGAGAGAGAATGAGATAGAGAGAGAGAGCATGAGAGGGTCAGAGGGAGAAGCAGACTCCCTGCTGAGCAGGGAGCCCAATGCGGGACTCGATCCAGGGACTCCAGGATCATAACCTGAGCCGAAGGCAGTCGCTTAACCAACTGAGCCACCCAGGCGCCCCTGATAAGTTTTTTTTAAATAGGTTTTGGTCTTTAGCCATTCATTCAATATTTTTTGAATACCTTATTGAGAAAGGCACATGGCCAAGGGCTGAGAGGGAGACAAAGAGCAAAATATGGTCCCTGCCCCAGGCTAATAAGATGGTACAAAAACAGGAAAAATCCCATTAGAAAGGCACATACAAAGCATGATAATAGTTTGGAGAAGCCCGAGATAATTTTATGTTTAACTGATCAACTTTAAGCTTTGAAGAATGGATGCAGTTAAATGGGGGGACTTATCCGAGGTAGAAGGAATTACATGAGCAAAGGCAAGTCTGGTCAAGAAACAGTGATTTAATTTAGCTGAAACTACCTTGCAAACAGAACAGAGGAGGTAAGGCAGGAAAAACAGTGAGGCCAGCTCAAGAAAGATCTGTGAAATTTGGCCAAGGAATTTGGGCTTATTTGGTAGGAAAGGGAGAGACAGTGAAAGCTCCGGAATGGGGAGTAAGACAATCAGAGTTGAGACTTAGGATGAAAATGCCACCTGGTTAGTTTTTTTTTATTTTTTTCCCCCCAAAATTATGCACTGCTCAGAAGCCCAATTTAGAAGTGGTTGTCTCCCAATGAATTATTCTTTCCACATCTGTCCACCACCAGCCCTTGTCCTCAATGGTTCTGCACTAAGGACTTCCCTCCTTGAAATAAAACATTTAGCTTCTGCTCCAATTGTGTGATTTAATTACTTGGGCTCTAAAGCTCTGGTTTCAAACTTTGTTACTTTTCACTCCTAACCCACCTACCTCCAAAGTCAGAAGTTTAAAAAAAAAAAAAAAAAAAAAAAAAGCCCTCTTTTTTTTTCATCAAAATCCTCAGAGTCAGAAAATAGCCATACCACCACCTTTACCACCCTCCAACTCTTGATTAAATTAGGTTTGAAGGGCTGAGGGCTCCATCAATAACCACTGTTCATCATCTTCCTTCATCATTTTGCCCATCATGGGCATTCGCCCTTCCCTGCCTCATGACATCTTATTTTGAAAGACTGAAGGAGGTTTTCATTTCCAATTATTCCATTAGGGTAAAGGAATTTTTAAATTACAGTTTCAGGGGCAGTTAACTGAGCAATGAGCACATCTCTCTTTTGTTCTAATTTCCCTCTATTCTCCTAATGCCACATCCTCTGTGAAGCCTTCCTCACAGCACTGTCATGAGGATTAAATGGGGTAGGGAATAGAATAGTAAAAGCTAACCTTTAACAAGATCTTACCATAGACTAGGCATTTTGATAAGTGCTCGATATGCATTCTCCTTTTACCTCATAACGCAGGGACAGATGCCATTATTATGCATATTTTACAAATGGGGAACCTGAGGTTCAGAAAAGTTAAGTAATTTGCTCAAGTTTACACACACAGTTTATAAGTGGCAGAACCAAGATTTAAATCCACATGTCTGACTCCACAAACCCCAATCCTAACTACTTAACTTACGCATGAAACATTCACTATGGCAGATATTGTCATTAGCTTTGTATGAATTTGTCCTTTGAATTTTGAATGTTCTCCTCCCTTGTCTATCAGTTTTTACACTGCTTTTCAGTTCGCAAAGGCCTTTGTGTACATTACTTCCTTTAACTCTTCCTCCAAACCCTCTCAGGTTGCTATTATTGTTACTCCCATTTTCCAAATGAAGTAGTTGGGTGAGCGCTCAGAGAGATTGTGTGACAAGGGCTAAAATCAGCGGTATTGGATCATTTATTTAAAGTAGAGCTGGCACTAGGACTTGGAACGCTGGTCTCCGAGCTCCAAAACCCAGCCTTTCTTTAGTGCCCAGCCTCTTCTGAATCTGAGATCTTCATCATCAGAACGAACGTGAGGTCTTCTGCACTCCCTTTTTGGGGCTTGCACCTAAAGCGCTTGTTTATTCGGGTGCAGACTTAGGTTCGTTGTTTACATGTGCGCCCAGCACGGGGCCTCGTACACAACTGATGTTAAAAGAGACGGGATGAAAGCTACCGCGGTTAGCGGTCCGTCTCAACTACTGCACACTATCGACCGAGCAGAGTCCCATCATCGCTAGAGCCTTCAGTCTTCCGCATAACAGGAGGCGCTCAACATCATGAAATTTCCGTTCCCTCACTTTTCTTGGAACGTTAAGGCGGGCGGGGTTGGGAAGAGGCACGCAACTCCTCACCTGAGGGCTCAGCAGGGTTCTCAGGTGCTTCAACTGCATGACGAACACCCGTCTCTCAGATGCCACCAGTCAGCGACAACTCCCGTGGTTACCTGGACAACGCGCCACGCAGCTGCAGCGACTGCCGCTGACGCAGACGCGACCAGAGCGCAACACACTCCGCAAGGTCATCACGTAGCTTCGCTGCGAAGCAAACAGGACGTGCGCAAGCGCGGTGAGGTCTAGGGCGGGACACCGAGAGGGCATCCTCTCCTCAACCAATCGTGTCTTTGTCTGCAAACCCAAGCTCGAGCCACGCCCACAAGCCCTCCGCAAACTCGAGGTCCTACGTAAGCGCGGTCTTTCTCGCGCCCTGAGGCGAGTAAAGTGTGGCTAGGTTCGTCCTTTTAATTCTCAACCCTGGAGGAAAGCAGGGCAGTTGCTTTCATACGTTTTGCAGCGGACGGAATTGAACCCAAATAGGTTATACGATTTGCACGGGATCACAAAGCTAATAATGATAGCTAACTGAATACTCAGTATGCGTCTGCCAGGTACTGTGCAAAGGGTCGTATATGCGCTCTCATTTAATCCCAAAGACACCTTTTGAAAGGGATGGCATTATTAGTCCCATTTTACATACCAGAAGACTCAGGATTAGAGGGGTCACTTACCCAAACTAACAGTCAGTAAAGGATGTAAATGGGATTCAACCCAGAGCTGGTGCGTTTATTCGTTCTGAACTCTTAGCTCCCGATCTCCATGCCATGCTTCTGTACCCCATGCCGCTTCCATCCCAAGAACTGAAGTGTCCAGAGTCTGAGAGATGAGTGTTTCGGAACCAGTGGCCAGTGAGAGGTACTACTTCAGAATCGGGTAGCAGTGGGTTAAAGACTGCTGCCCAGATCGGGATGCTTTTATGGTTCAGGGCAGAGGGCAAACCTGAGTTTGGCTCACCTGATAGGGTAGGGTTAAGTCTTGTGATACCTGGGGTTGGAGCTTGGTTAAGTAACAAGGATATTGACTTATTGATCTGTTTGGATTGGGGTCCCTTTCAGAATTATTGGTCTAAATTCTTGTAACATACCAGAGAGACTGAGATGGAGAAAAGGAGAGTTATTCATGCACCTCCTCTGGAAAGATCCGAAGTTGAGAAGACCTATAATTCTCCAGAAAGTGTAGCATATGCTGTCCAGACACAGTCTGGGTTCTACAGCTTTTCCCCCACAGTGGTTGCAAACGTCAACAGGTATTTCTCTCACTGGCACCATCACACCCCCCGCCTTGGAATTTAGGAAAGAGTAGAGGAAAGCCTCTATTTTCACAGGAAACAAGTAGCCCCAGAGCCCAAAGTATAAGTCTTTTGACAGGGGAGTTCCAACCCCTCAGTTTTATTTCCATAATCCTCCTCTGGATATAGTGGCAGAGAGTGAATATAAATTCATTTACACCTTACAGTTATTATTGGCTTTGACCTAATGAACAGAGACAGAGACAGACAGAGACAAAAGGAAAAGCGAGGGCAGGGAAGACTAGGTATGGGAATGCACAGGATAGGAGCACATGGCACTGAAGGATCCATTAGTGTAGCTGCTCTTGCATTTGTCCCAAGACACTGTTCAGTCCTTTTCTGGAAATTAACTCAAGGTTGATGGAGGAGTCAGAGAAATAAATGGTGAAGAGCTTGGGTGTCAATGTGGGCAGTGAACATAAAAAGGTTACTGGCCCCTCTCATGTGGTATAATCTTCGTTTCCACTGCTGCAGGGGAATTTATATCCCCCCTTCTTTTCTTTCGCCCCTTTCTCACTGAACAAAACAAAAGGAACTAGGGCTCCAGTTTTCTACACTCATTTCTGGCCTCTCCCCACCCATTCCAGGCTAGAGAATCAAAACAAACACCTTAAAATAATGAGAGTGCTCCTGTTGAGTTGGTGGTGGTGTGAGAGGCCCTTGTTGTCAGGGGAGAGACAGTGGGGAAATGTCTTCAGCATACTATACAGTATACCATACAGTCAGCTTCAGTTTGTCCAAGAACCTTTATTGGAAAAATGTCCAAGGGGTGAGATCACCAGCAGCTGGAGGGGCTACCAGGTGAGAGGGGGAGCACCTGAGGCTCCATGGAAGACATTGGAGTAGTGCAGTGCCTCCAGACCCAGACAATTCCTTTTAATTGCTGGGGGGAGGGGAAGTAGCCAAAGAAACACCCCTCTCTGAGACCCAGAGGCAAGATGTGGGGGCAGCTGGGGATGCCAAGAGTCCTGATGCAGGTGGAATGGGGGCCCCATTTGAGACCTAGTGGGATACGGTTGAACAAGTGACTCTCCCCTGGACCTGGGGGATGGAAGGACATATCCCATCTGATAGCCATTCCCCAGGTCCAGGGGCACAGACCCTAAGAGACCTACCTTCTGGCCCCGCTCACAGTGGAAAGAGGACGGGTACCAGGCCTGAGATTGTGGGAGTGTCATTACCCTCTAGGAGACTGTGGGATCCTTCAGTCCTGAGCAGATACCATCTGAGGCGCTCCCTGACCCTATCCCCATCCCCAGGGTGTTAGTGCATCTGTTTTCTGGTTCTGTTTCTTCACTCATACATCGATGGTGTTGATGGATGATGACTTTTTCTGCAAAAGAAAATGGCTTGAGTCTCTAATTTCAGGAAGGTAAGAGCCTCCTCCATCCCAAATATCCATTTTCCCTCATTTCCTGCCCCTCTTTGGCCTTCTCCCCTTCCCTGACTGCTCCTAGAAGCAAAATCACCATTCCCTCCCTCACTGGCCCCACATCACCTGTCTTGTCCCCACCGGCCTTCCCTGAGGACTCTGTTCTGGCCCCTTCCCCTTCTCCTTGGGGTTGTTGTTGGAGTCGTTGTCCTTGATGATATCATACTGACGGCAGAATAGCCCAATTACAGCTGAAACACAACAATACAATCTGCGCCTTGATCTTGACTTCCCCACTCACAGCCTTGAAGGGCAGTGAGATACCCACACAGTTTCTAGAGAATCTGAGAAGAAAACCCTTGAATTCCTGGTGTTCATGTGTGAGCACCACCCTCTTAACCTTCCTCTCCTCAAACTTCTGCTCACCCCACTCCACTAAGCATCTCCCTGCTCCACTTCCCTCCCTGCCTTTTCTCCCGACAACCTTCACCATCTCCCACCTTCACTGAGCCCCGCTCCCCCAATCCTCGGTCCCCCATCCAGCTGCTCACTCACCGGCCCACATGAGCAACACCACCACAATGATGACCACTTCCCCCGTCTGCAGTGGTCGCTCTCCATCCAGACCCTCCACTGTGATGTCACCTGAGAAGGAGGAGATAGACTCCAGGTTATGGGGAACGGCCACAAAGCTCTTCTATGCAGACAGGTAAGGATGGAGAGTCTGGGGCCAGGGTTGCCCCTGGTAGACCCTCTCTAGGAAGCTGTTGGTGGACGGGTAGTTAGAGACCAAAAAGCAGGAAGGCTGCTGGTGAGTATTCACGCAGGCTGCTGCAGCTGGGAACTGAGGGTGGGTAAAAGGAAGCTTAAAAGCCCTTCTCCCAAACGATTCATTATCAGCCTGTTTATACCCAGTCCCCTGCCAACCTTTTTCTTTCGTTTCTTGGCAGTATGATGGATTAAATCATCCTTTTATTCATCTGAGCTAGACTGTGGCTTGTTTGGCAGAAGTAAACAAGAGGCTAAAGGCCAGGTGAAAAGGCCGAGAATCCAAAGCTTTCGGGAGTGGAGAATAGCTGAGACCCTCACCTGGGCTTGAGCTGTTTGAGGGTAGCCGGTCAGAACCCTTGAGAGTTCGGAAGTGCACCCGAGGCCCTGGGGGGCTCTCTCCCCGAAGGCCGATGCTCCTGACCTGCACTGTGTAGTCACTGTCTTCAGCCAGGCCCCAGAGGGCACAGGCCCGCGTGGTGGTGTTCACCTCCCGGATCACACGCTGCCCAGGGCCATTCTGTCGCTGTGGGGAGATGATGGGACAGGAGGGCAGTCTCACACCAGTTCCAGGACTCTTGAACCTCCAAGCACTCCACGGAGTAGGATAAAAAGGGCAGCTTGAGCCAGGGAACACCAGCTCCCAAATTTCCCCACCACTGGGAGGGGAGCTTAGGTCTGGGCTGGGGGTAACTGAAGGAATGTTCAGAGATCCAAGGACACAGGTTGAGGGAGCAGAAGGGTGATTCATACTTGCTGGGAGATGGAGTAGCCAATGACGATGTTGCCTTCTGGGACGTCCCAGGACACAGTGGCCGAGTTGGCTCTGAGGTGAGTGACTGTCACATTTACAGGAGAGGGAGGCCGGTCTGTGGGTGTCAGAGTGAACAGGTTAACAGGTTCCATCCACGGACTAGCTCTGGTTAACCCCACTACCCCTTTACTCACCTGCTCGCACAAAGCCCAGGTCACAACTGACCAGCAGGAGGACCGTGGGGCTTAAATATGGGGAGAGGGGCATCAGCGAAGCCATGGTCCCCACCGAGTCCGCTGGGAGGCACTGGGGCTTCCGCTTAACATCCAGGCGGGGCTCCTGGAGGTAGCAGGAGTTGTGGGGGGCGGGGGTGGGGGTCAAGGACTGCCCAGAACGCACGGGTGGCAGCAGCTCTCCCGGGCTCCCCACCGCCCACAGCAGCCCCGGAGCCCCCCTTCTCCCCACGCCTTCCCCGCCTCCGCATCACCCGGGCGGCTCTGCCCGGCCCACACCCACCTCCGCCGGTCCTCGCGGTCGGTCAGGCCTCGGGGGGCTGCACGGTGCCCAGAGGGCGGCCCATCGCCCGACTCCGTGGCGCTGCCCCTACCCCATCCCGGCGCGGACCCGGCGCGGCGGGCAGCGCGGAACCGAGCTGCGGGCAGAGGGCAGGCGGAGGCGTAGCGGGAGCGGGCCGCGGGGCTGCGGGGGCCCCCAGAGCTCGGACGGGCCGCGTAGTCTGTCCCTGAGCAGGGGGCGGTGCCGGCGCGGCCTGGCCGCTGGCCTGAGTCCCGGTGCGGAAGGCAGTGCGGCTGCTCCGCCGGCCCCTGCAGCGGGATGTGACCGTCCCGGCCAGCCAGCCGCCGCCTTCTGCAGAGCTGGCCCGGCTCGCTCCGCCGCAGCCCGACCGGGACGTGCCGGCCAGCCCCGCCCCGCTGGGGCTCTCGCCGCCGTCATCCCCCTCCCCCCTCCCCCCCACCCCGACCCGACCCGGTTCTCCCGGGGCTCCTCCCACGACCCTCCCATTGGCGGCCTCCCG